CAGGATTTTTTCAGTTCTATTACAACTTTATGGGTCCACCGTCATGTTCACAGTCCATTGTTGACTGAAACATTGTCATGTGGCACATGACTGTATGCAGTTGTTTTTTTTACAGTATCAGTTTCCAGTCTTAGTTAAGTCTCTTAATTTTTTTCACACAATTGCTTTGTGAGTTTTTTATTTGTTTACATTAATATTTATACCATCTGAGGTATATTACTATATATGGTATAAGATTAGAGTCAGTTTTTTAATTTCTTCCAGTTGAAGAGCCAGTATCATTTATTTAAAAACAAGCAAACAAAAAAACCCATATACTTTTCTTACTCCATGAAACCAACAACTATATTAACTCATATATTAAAATGGATTTCTGTATTCTCTGTTGTATTATATCACATATTTTATAATATCTTCTGATAGCAATTTCTGATATAAAATACTCTTATTTCTTTGCATAGTGTTCTTGGTTATCATTAGGCAATTAGTCTTCCAAATGAACTTTAAGGTTATTTTATACAGGCTCCCCTCCAAAATAGAAATGAAAAAAAACCTAAAAATTTCATTGAAATTTTAATTGGAAATGTATTAAATTTACATATTTTAAAAGACTTTTAAAATTGACAAATAAAAATTGTATACTTTTTTGGGTAAATGTGATTTATGTACACTTTGTTGAATGATTAAACTAAGCTAATTAACATATTTAGCAACTCACATACTTGTCATTTCTTTGTGATGAGAACACTTAAAATCTATTCTTTTCACAACTTAGAAGTATACAGTAAATTGTTATTAACTATAGTCAGCATGTTGTGTAATAGATCACTAAAACTTATTTCTCCTAACTGAAATTTTGTACTCATTGAACAACATGTTGGGAGACTTTAAAAATACACAGTGAGAGATTTAACATCCAAGAACATGTTTGACTTTTCATTGGATTCTCACATCTTTTATTAAGATTGAGTAGCTAGACCAATATCCCTGATGAACAGAGATGCAAAAATTCTCAACAAGATTCTAGCAGATTGGATCCAACAACACATCTCAAAAATCATCCACCATGACCAAGTAGGCTTCATCTCCAGATGCAGGGCTGGTGTAACATCTGCAAGACCATAATTGTAATTAAATACATCAACGGTTGTAAAAACAAGAACCACATGATTATATCTTAAGATGCAGAAAAGGCTTTCAACAAAATCCGGTGTCCATTCTTGATTTAAAAAAAAAACAATTCTTGAACACCTAAATATAGAGAAAACATACCACAAAATAGTAAGAGCCATCTACGATAAACTTACTGCCAACATACTACTAAATGAACAGAAATTAGAGGCATTTCCCCTGAAAACTGGTACAATACAAGGCTGTCCACTCTCACCTCTCCTGTTCAACATAGTGTTGGAAGTCCTAGCTAGAGCAATCAGACGAGAGGATATCAGGGATTTCCAAATAGGAGAAGCAGTTAAGCTATCTGTCTTTGCAGATGATATGATCCTATACCTGGACAACCCAAGGAAATCTGTCAAAAACTTCCTTGCACTGATAAAGGACTTTGGCGAAGTACCAGGGTATAAAATTAATATGCAAAAGACAGTTGCATTTCTATACACCAACAACAAACAGGCAGAGAACCAAATAAAAAGCACATTCTCATTCACAGTAGCCATTTAAAAAAGGAATATCTTGGCATCTTCCTAACCAGAGAAGTGAAATATCTTTGCAACAGAAAATACAAAACACTGCTCAAAGAACTCAAAGACACACACAAAAAAGAAAAAATATCCCAAGTTCATGGGTTGGAAGAATCATCATTGTTAAGATGTCCATCCTATCCAAGGCAATCTACAGATTCATCACAATACCCATTAAATTACCAACATCATTCTTCTCAGACCTGGAAATGACAATACAGAAATTCATATGGAAACATAAACGGCCACAAATGGCCAAAACAATTCTCAGCAAAAGAAACAAAGCAGGATGTATTACCCTTTCAGACTTTAAACTTTATTATAAGGCTACAATAACCAAAACAGCCTGGTATTGGTATAAGAGTAGGCATATGGACCAGTGGAACAGGACAGAGATTCTGGAAGCAAAATCTCAATTTCTCAATCTGCTCATCTTTGACAAAGTCTCCACCAACAACAACTGGGGAGAGCCTATTCAGCAAATAGTGCTGGAAAACAGGCTGACCACATGCAGAAGAATGAAAGAGAACCCATACCTATCACCATACAAAAAAATTAACTCTAAATGGATCAAAGACCTAAATGTAGAACCTCAAACTATAAGACTCTTAGAAAACGTGGGAGACACCCTTACAGAAATTGAACTAGGCAACCAATTCCTGATCAAAACCCCAAATGCCCATGCCATAAGAGCTGAGATAGACAAGAGATCTCATCAAACTGAAAAGCTTCTGAAAGCAAAATAAACTTATCAAGAGAGAAGGGAGACAGCCCACAGAATGGAAAAGTATTTGTCAACTGTATATCTGACAAAGGCCTAACATCTAGGATCTACAAGGAACTCAAACGTGCCAAAAGGCAAAAAGCAAACAGCCCCATTAAAAAGTGGACAAGAGTCGGGTTCGGTGGCTCAGCCTGTAATCCCGTGCCTTTGGGAGGCTGAGGTGAGTGAATTGCCTGAGCCCGTGGGTTCAAGACCCGCCTGGGCAGCGAGACCTCATCTCTACAATACATCAAAAAATCAGCCGGGTGTGGTTGCACATGCCTGTAGTTCCGGCTACTCGGAAGGCTGAGGCGGAAGGATCACCAGAGCCCAGGAGGCGAGGCTGCAGTGGCCAGGAGCTGCCACTGCACTCCAGTCTGGGCAACCGAGTGAGACTCCAACTCAACAACAACAACAACAACAAAAAGTGGACAAGAGACATGAATAGACATTTCTCAAAAGAAGACATACAAACAGCCAATAGACACATGAAAAAATGCTCAGTCTCACTAATCATCAGAGAAATGCAAATCAAAACCACATTGAGATACCACCTAACTCCAGTAAGAATGGCCATCATTAATAAAACAAAAAACAACAGATGCTGGTGAGAATGCAGAGAAAAGGGAATGACACTTACACAGTTGTAGGAATGCAAACTAGTTCAGCCTCTATGGAAAACAGTGTGGTGATTTCTAAAAGAACTAGAAATTGATCTTCCATACAACCCAGCAATCTTCCTTCTGGGAACATATCCGGAGGAACTCAAATCATTCTACAGAAAAGATACCTGTGCACGTATGTTTATTGCAGCACAATTCACAATACCAACAACATGGAACCAAACGTGCTGCCAATTGAAAGTGGACTGGATTTTTAAAATGTGGTGCATATACACAATGGAATACTATGCAATAATAAAGAACGACAAAATTATGGACTTTGCAGCAACTTGGATGAATTTAAAGTCTATCATACTCAGTGATCTATCATAGAAACAAAGAACTGAGTACCCCATGTTCTCACTCCTAAGTGGATCCTGAACAGCTATCATAATACTACAAGAAAGGGACTGGCAGTAGGAGGACACTGCCAAGGGAGGGAGGAGCAGGGGGAGCACAATATTAATAAGGGTGCATCATCCCATTCCAGGTGAAGTGAGGTCCAATGGGAGCCCAAACTTTCACCTGTACGTAAACCACTTCTGGACCCAATCCTGACTTGTACCCCCACATCTTTAAAATTAAAAAAAGAAAAAGGAATACAAAAGACTGAATAGCTGGTTTATATATGTTGTATATCCTGTTTTTTTAAAGCTTAGTCTTATATTTCATAGTTTTGACTATAGTATGTGAAATATTTTTTTCTTATTTGTCTTTCTAGGTGTTTAGTGCTAGAGAAGATAAAAGCTATTGATTTTTATGTACAAAGTTTTGTCAATACTATGGTTTTCTCAAATCTGTTGGGTTTCCTACGCACACACACAATCATGGTATTGTCAAAATACATAGTTTCATCTCTTATTTCCCAGTGTTGATAGCAGATATTTCTCTTATATTGTTCATTTGCAAAAACCTTTAGAGCAATTTTTTTTAAAGAAGTAATGGCATTTAGGCATTTCTGTCTAAATTCTGATTATAATTAAATTTGTTAACTTTTTTCCACTTAGGATATCAAAAAGTGCTGTTCTATGGTAAACAATCTTCATTATAATTGAAAAAATTTCCTCTTCTTTTGTTTTACTTAAACTTTTTTTTTAAATGACTGCTGAATTTTATCATGTACCTTTCAGTGACTATTGATTGGATTGCTTAATACTTTAATTTGTGTATGGGATTATATGGACGGATTTCCTTACACTGAGCCACCCTCACTTTTCTGTGCATGTGTTTCCTTGATACTCTTGTAAATTCCTAGAGAATTATGCACCAAGATGTGTCAAATCTTAATAGCTGTAATGTAATAAAAGAGCTCCAAGACCAAATTAATTTGAGAAGTGCCAGACTAAACAAAGTTAAGTGGTACTCTTGAAGCTAATATGCATTGTCAGTCTTCAAGAGATTAGAGTATAGAGTGTTGAGTGAACTTTACTGGACCATCCATTTTTCATGGGCCATCCCATGGGACTAGATTAGAGCAGAACAAACTTTGGAAAATGCATATATGGAGATCGTATGCTCAGATTTGCAAATATTTTCCAGCACATGAGACCAATTAAATCACAGAGATAAATTAAAAGTCACAAACTATAGGTTGTCAAAACTATTTGGGGAAAAATAATCTAGTTAAGCAACATTTTGTACCAATTGTACTTACTTTTATTTATACTAGATTTTCCCCTGGGTAGGCCCAAATTATTGATGTTTGGCATTACACTGCCCATCTTAGAGCCCAGGGTCATCCAGAAGCTGGATGTAATTCCAGCTTCAGCTATTGTTGAAGTATGATGCTAGGAAATAATGCAATCACACCTGTACCCACCTCTTTCTACAATGTGACCCATGGTGTCATGACTAGCGCTTGCACATGGCACTCACCAATGACGTATTCCACCCTGAAGAGATCCCTTCTGGGGTCATATGAACGGTTGAAGTCAATCTGGATGTAGAAAGTCTGCCCTCTACGTACAATCAAATTGTTGTTGTCATACTTGTCAGTGTGGTGATCCACCTTGTTGGTGTCCCATCTCTCCTTGAACAGGTGGACACTCGTGACATTAAGGTAGTCTATATACAAAAGAAAACAATTACTTAACTTTAGTTCCAACATAATCTCAAAAAACGAGATTATTTTTCCTGAAGAAGGCAAGTAGCAAAGTCCGCTGATGAAACTCTATGAGGGATGGGGGACACAGACTTGAGAATCTGACTACTGCAACATTCTTGTTTTTGAAGAGAGTTTCTAAAAGGTTTTCCACTTGGATCTCATTTCAGACCACACAGACTCACTATAGGCAGACAAATGTCTACATGAGCGATCTCGATACAGGGAAACTAGGACCAGAGGCGAAATCTTCAGATTCTCAGTCTTATGCAGGTTTTCGTTACGTTAGGCACACCCCATCGTGACTACCACCTCACTATATAACTAATTAGGGAGAAGTAGGGAATAACCACTCCATTTTCTTACTCCTTTTATTTAGTAAATCTGACAAAGCCTCAAAGGGACATCTCAAAGACAAAGTTGGCCATTAATCCAAATTTTCCTCTTACCCCAGGAAGGGTCAAACATGGCCTCTTTCCGTCTAAAAGTAGTCCCCATCCCTTACAGGCAAGAAAGATCTGGTCTAAAGACTTTGTATGTGCATCTGGAGCTCTAAAGGGTCACTGGGGAGAGAAGATTGGGAGGGTGGCTGGAGGTGCATTGGCTTCTTGCTTTCCCCCTCTGTCCCTGCCCCTGCCTGCGACATTGTGGCCCTCATGGCTGCAGGTATTGTATGCACAGGAAGCACAGCTGCTGAGCTTGGACCTATGCTGGGGCATCACCCGGCTATACTCCAATGGCTTCTTTTGCTTTTGCTCAGGAATACTGAGCAGGAGGCCTGATCCACTTGGGTCTCACATTTTTTTCTCATAGGTAAGCCCAGGAAGTTGGGCTTCTTAAGATTTTTTTTTGGTTCTAAAGTCTAGGAGTCCCTGAAACGCTGTTGATACAGGTTCTGGCACTCCTGAGTTTGAATCTCAGGTGTCAAAATTTCTTAGGTAAGGCACTTTGCCTTTTAGAATCTGAGTTTTCTCACCTTTAAGATGAGGATACTAATATCTTAAGAATGTTTACAAGATGAAATGAGATAGCAATGAAACGGTTCTTGGGCCTACTGTGACTCATGGACTGTGAACTCGGACAGAGCCATTTTACATGGCACAGTGCTCCATGGGTTATTCCAACTGCAACATTACAGCAAACAGAAAGTGCAAGGTACAGTTTTATTTTTACCTCATCTCAGAACCATGCTGTAGTACATGTCCCCCTGAAGGGCACTTTCTTTCCATTATGCCGTGGGCTAAAGATGTTTAATTCTCTAGACCTCTCTCTGCCCTTTCTTCTAAGTTCTTTGGTCTTATTAAGGTCACAATCCCTAGTGATAAACCAACTTAAGAAAGAGCTGGAGAATCATAAATGTCCCAGTTGAAAAAAGCCTTAGTAATCGACTCATCTGGTTCTCTTTCTTAGCACAATGTCATTTAGTAAATTTTTTTTAAAGCTAAAAACCTAAGTCCTCAGAAATAGGTTTAGTCATCTCTCCATTCACCAGCACCAGTGAAAGGAATATACTGATATTATAGCCTCATAGACTCTCCAAGGACAGGGCACTTTCTGGACAATCTGGTGACTCTCTATGTATTGCATGGAACATTTTCATGAAAGCCCTAGTGGTTGGGCTTTCAGCCTCCATCTGAACAGGGAACTCACTATTTCACAGGGCAAAGAGTTCATTTTCAAAAAACTCTAATTATTTGAAAAATTCTCTTAAGATGAACTGACATCTGCTCCCTTGTAATTTTTTTAACCATGGATCCTCATTCTGACTCCTGGATAAATATAGAATAAGTCTTCTATTCATTTCATCTAGCACTCTATAGGTATTTAAAGACTTCCCTTAGGTTTTCTTCCTAGTAAAACCTTCACTATTTCTGCAACTGTTCTTTAAGAAATTATTTCTAGAACTTTTACCCACCAGTCTGTTTTGTACTATATTCTATTTTGTCAACTTTTCTCTTGAAAAAGCTTTCTCTAGGATTAAGTACATTACTCTGGTTGTGGCTTGTTCAATAAAAAATGATGAAACCATGACATCTTTTTAAAATAAATAGTATATTTTTATTATTTCAGTGAAAGATATTAGTAGTGTCTTGGACACTTTTACTGTTGATTTATATGAAGCATCTGGTGAAGAAAAACCTTTTTTAAAAAAGTTCAATGTCATTTCTTTCAATAGTGGGTTAGAATTCAATTCAGACCCCTACGAGTTACTCACTCATGTTGTTCTTTAGCCATATTTATTTGTTTAATTGTTTTTTTTCTTAACTCAATGTTAAGGCCTTATATGTGTCCATATTAATTTTTTTGAATTTGGTTTATTGTCCCAAAGATAAGATAATTTTAGAGGGTCACCCTAAGTGTGTATTCAATATATTTAATTTAATATTCTCGCTAGCTTTCTTTCCTCTAGGAATTTCATAAATGTGATATTTTATGTTGTCACCCAAGACATGGATATAAATGTTGATTAGGCAACTCCTTAATAACTATAAGCTAAGTAAATGCCTAGGGTAGATACTTAAAAATGAACATATAATTATGATGCAGTGTAATAAATACTCTGATAAAGGAAATATAGGGCTCTGTGTGGTGGATATCTGAGAAGAGCCCCTAACCCAGACGAGAGAAGGGGCTTTGAAGACATTTTCTGGAAGAAGCAAGGTATAAGTTTTGCTCAAAAGAGAAGCAAGATGTCCATGTAGAAGAGAAGGTGGCTAAGATGCTTTGGGCAGAGAGAGAAGGATGCTTGAAGATCAAGGTGAACAAGTGCATGACTACTTAAGAAACTGAAAGGTGGTTGGTAAGGCTAGGATGTAGCAGTGGGAGCCACAGTGGAAGAGAAAGAAAAGCCCAATCAGACAAGCCTTGTAGACCGTGCTAAGGAGTTTGGATTTTAATTGCATTGGGGATCCAGAAATATCAGAAATATCTGAAACAGCAAACGGACATGATTATATTATATTTGCATTGACCTCTTCATATTATCTTTATATAGGTGGTATTTTTAGTCAGGAGATTGTAAACCCCTTGAGAACTAGACCATGTCAAATGTATAAGACACATGCAAGCTTATGATGGGCAGGTGGATTATTCTTTAGAAAAAGAAGAAAATGGCAGCCATGTAATCTCCCATTAGTTCAATGGATTTACAAGGGATCACCTCAAGTATTGGGAAAGGAGATAAGGTACCCAGTACCATTGATTAAACAATAATTATTTCATTGCTCATGAATAGTCACCCACAGATCAAGCCAAATATCTGGTTCGTATGCTACCTGATAATAGCAAGGACTCTGAAGATGGTTGTCATAAAATATGAGCATCGATATAAAAATATCATAGTTCAATCTGTTGTCCATTTTGCCTAGGAGAGCCCCTTCCCATATAGTGAGTATGCAGCACACAGTGAACAAGCTGGCACATTGACTTTTGCTTTGCTTATTGGCTTAACAACATAGTTTAGGATAGAAAGAGTCTTCTCATCATCCAGGCTCCATTTGCCATAAACAAAAAATGAATTTGCTTCCCCCGTCCAAGTCCAGTTCCTGGCAAAATGGTGCAGCTCACTGCTAAGCCACTTTTTTTCCTCAAAGGATACTGTAGCTAGACACTTGGTAGCTCGCTCTTTAAAAGTGATAGCTTTCAAAATATCTACCTAACACAATTTAGCTTAATTCCAAACCTATCAGAAAATGGATTGCTAAAAAAAAATCTCCCCTTAGAAGTAGCTGCCTTCCTGTCCTCCTACTCATTCCTTAATATGAAAAATGGATTATTTTCTCCCTAGGTTGTAAAATATTCTTCAGAGAATGATGATACCTGTCACAGATGGAATTGTGAAATAAGGTAAATGCTTAGGTTCATATTCCAGGAATTCCCTGGAGAACTGAATTCTCCACACACTCTTTGATAATATGACTACTAAACTATAGGCATAAATGCTACCCATGTGGAAGCAGGTCTGTTTATTGGGAAAATAACAACGGAAAAAGGACTCTTCTCCATTTCTCTTGGATACCCAGGATTTTAGAGTATCATTAATTAGAATAATTCAAAACATTTTCTTATACAATCTTATTTTTAAAAAATTGTTGCGATCAAGATGTCCTGCACCTTACAATGTTGAAGAAATGTTTCGCTACTCAGAAGACGCTAGAACAAGAGAAATGAGATCACCACCTTCTTCGAGGGCTAAAATCCAGCAGTCCTGCTCCTCTTCTGGCTTGGAGTATCCGAATGGCTTCCAAACGTATCATCTCCTGCTCCCCATTTTCATCTCACCACTTTATAAGACACACTTCATATTTTGTAATTCTGCAGCTTAGAATCCTAGGCAAGTCCCCCATTATCTGCAGGCTCAAAAGTAAGGTCTTCAAGGCCTGTTGTGATGTGATCCCTACCATCTTTTTCTCAGGCTTATTTCTTTGGTCCTCTAGTCACTGTTAACTTGGCACATACTGTTTCCTCTGTTAGAAATGCCCTTCCATGCACTGGTCTGTCAGGAACAATCTTACCCATCTTCTAAGGACCAATTCAGATATTTTTCACCATGAAACCTTCCTCATTCTCTACCCCACTCCACCACACTACTAGACACTCCTTTCAGTTATTTCACAACAATTTGCACACATTTCAGTTATGGTATTTATTACACTAGATCGCAATGATCTTTCATTTGTGTGCTTTGTCTTCTAGACTGAGAGTTGCTTGAGACCAGGGGCTAACTCACTCATCTTTGGGTCTCCAGGGAGAGTCTGGTGCAGCTCCTGGCACATATGTGACCACCAGTATATGTTTTTCCAAGAACTGAAAGGAAAGGTGAGATACTATTATACAATGGTATTTCTTAGCCATGCACTGGATGCCTGGATGCCTCTCTTATTCTCTCAAAAACCTAGAACCCAGAGAAGTTTACTCTGTACAACTTGTTAATCATTTGATTAAATTCTGATGGGGTGGTGGAATGCAGGAGATTCTCAGAAAGGCATAAGATCCTACTAGCCTGAAAGCCCCTAGTTCCCACCTATGTATGAATTTTGTAGAGCTAGGTCTGCTTTTCAGTTTGAATTTAACATATTAGATCTGTCAAATAACTATTCCAATTGATGCTACAGATGGTCGCTAATTGTTAATAATACAGAGTCAAACCAGTCAAAGAATATAGGGTTATCTTGTGGAACATGACATTTCTAGCTATATATAACCTTTCAGGCCAGGAAGGCCATAGAGAGCTTTTTCAGAAACACCAACTGAGTAAGCAGAACAATCTATTAGAAATTAATACAAATTCAAATCTGAGGAGATTATCACAGTACTTTCTCAGCTACAACTGAGTTCACAGGGGGATATTAAGAATGCCTAAAAAATACAAAGACCACCAAACGCTGGCTAGTTCCATGTCTGGGATTCCAGTGTCACCACAAATATTCTAATTTTTCTTGAATATTATGGTGTGCATGAAAGGAAACTTACATGAGTTTATATATTTTGAAACATAAATCTTTACCAGAATAATTCTTAACAAAATAGTCACCAAAACCATGACTTAGGAGTATCATACACACTCAGAATACCTGTATAACATTAACTACATTATACAGTGGTGGGCTGGGCTCATTGTTACAAACTATTCAAACTGGCATTTTCTTTTTTCGCCTCCTTGAGTTTCTCAGTCAGTTTTATAAGAATGGCTTGCATCCCTTTGGGGAAGAGCCACCACTGAAAAACTGCAGGGAGAGAGTTTGACTTAGGACCTGTGTTCCTGGAGCCAAAGTCATCATCCTCAGTTAAGTGATCAGAGATACAAGTCCTCTTAGAGGCCACTAGTGGCCACTGGGTGAACTACAAGAGGGTGGCTTTTTTTTTTTTTTTTTTTTTTG